GGAAATTTACTGCATTTCCATTCTGTCCAGACACTGGACTAGATATTTCTGCAGATCTGGGCTTGTGACATGAAAGCCGCAGTACAGTTTTGTGAAATAAGTTCTATTATCCCCCAGGCTAAGAGACACTCAGTGAATGAATTGCCCAAAGCCGCACAGCTTTTGCCCAGCAAGGATGGGATTGGAACTCAAAACCTGCTCAAGCAGCCAGAGCTGGATGACCCCAGGGAAGCAGAGGTTATGACTCCGAGTCCAGTCTGCGAGACCCAGGGAGAGACCTTGTCCCTCTCTGGACCTCAGCATTCTCGTGTGGACTTGAAGGCCTTGAAGGGCCTTTCTGGTGAATGACCTTGAGGTGGATATGAACAGCTCCTGGCACAGCCCTGCAGGATGCTCCTCACTCTCCCTGAGAAGCCAAGGGCAGGGACACCCATGGGGTAATGGTTAACTAGACCCAACACCCCATCTGTAAGGAGCCTCCTCAGCTGGCCCAGTCTCCGCAGATGCAGTGGGTGAAGGTGCTTGGGGTGTCGTGGGGGCCACGGCCCTCTTGGGGCTGGGGATCACTCGTGGCCACTTTGCCATCCCCAAAGTCTCAAGACTCACAGGACCTGGACCTGGACCAGAAGCTCCTTGAGACCATCTTGGAACAGCTGGATGCCAGCAGGATCCGGGAGAACCTTAGGTGAGAGGCCTGTCTACCCAGCCCACCCTCTGCCAGAGGCTCCCACCTGACCCCGGCCTGCCCTCCCTCGTCCACCCTGTAGAGAACTCTCCAGGAAGCCACACCTGGCCACCAGCCCCCGGGACGAGGAGCTGGTGCAGCTGCTGCTGCAGCGCTGGCGGGACCCAAAGTCAGGTCTCGACTCGGCCCAGGCCTCCCAGTACGAAGTGCTGCTCTCCTTCCCCAGTCAGGAGCAGCCAAACCACGTGGACGTTGGAGGTCCCCCCTCAGGCTTGGGGAAACCTGTAGGTGGGGGAGCTGCCAGGGCCAGCATGACAATGCCCCTTCCCCCCCCACAGTGGATCCCACTGGGAAAGTTCAATTCTCCTGCAGACGGAGTGAGGAGGATCTGACTGGGGAGCAGGGGGGCCCTGACGTGGTGCCACCCTATGCTGCTTATGCCCCCCCGGAACCCCACAGGTGGGTCCAGAACATCCCCTCCCCATTGCCCAGCTCCCCTTGACGCCTAGCCCAGCTTCTCCCATCTTAACCCAGGGGTAAGGAAAAGTTCCTCAACTGAGCTCAGCACTCCCTAGAATTCAGTCATCTCCATAGCTAGTCCTGTCGCCCATCACTTAGTCACTCAATAAACACAAAATAGCACCTGTTTGAGGTCAGGCCTGATAAAGGGTACCTGGACACGGAGGACACCAGGTATGACTGTGTCCCTGGGGAGACTGCAAGCTCTGGGTGAGGTGGGAAGCAGACTCGAAATCCCTCATCCTGCCACCCTGCTGCTTCCCTCTCCTTTCCCCTCTCCACCCTTCCCTGGGCCTGGCTCTAAGGATCTTCTCTTCTTGAGACTAGGGCCTCCTTGTCTATGCCAACCGGGGCACAGAAGCAGACTTTAAGGAACTACAGTCTCAAGGCATCACACTCCAGAACACCATTGCCCTGACCCGCTATGGGGGTGCAGGGCGTGGGGCTAAGGTGAGCCGCAGCTTCCAAAGCAGGGGACTGGGTGGGGGAGAGGGGCCCTCGGTGGGGAGAGGGGAAGGCGAGGCAAGCTGCATCTGTGCAATGCCAGTGATGGCTGTGTGACCTTGGACGCTTCCCCTAACCTCTCTGACCCCGAGGAAAGAAAGAGATGGAACAAAATTTTCAGCTTCGGTAATCTGGCAGTCTAAGCCCTAAATTCTTCTGACTTTCAGCTTAAATTCTTACTGTTGTCTTCTCCCCACACCCTTTTTCTTTTCTTTCTTTTTTTAAAAAAGATTTATTTATGCATACAAGAACTGGGTACAGGCCAGAGGTGTGGGGTGAGAGGATTCACCAGAGACTGAGTGGGGATCAGAACAGGTAGATCCACTGAAATACACTGCTGAGGGGAGCAGCAGGCGAGACAGGAGAGGTCTGCTGCGCCCTGTGGGTGGCTCCCTGGCCAGGGATGGAACTCAAGCTGCAGTGGCTGCGGATCGCTTCATAGGTTGTGTCTTAACCCCTTGCGCCACCAGGGCCTCCCCTTTTTCTTTTCAACTTAAAAATTTGACTAAATATTAATGTCTATGGTTAAAAAATATTTATTTTTTAAAGATTTATTTAAAATATTTTTTAATATAAAAATTTATAGTGGGAGAGAGGAATAGGGAGTTAGTGTTAAATAGGTACTGAGTTTCAGATTTACACAGGGAAGAGAGTTCTGGAAAAGGATGGTGTTGATGGCACCCTAATCCCACTGACCTAAACACGTTAAAATGGTTCAGACGGGGCCTCCCTGGTGGTGCAAGGGGTTAAGAGCAACCTATGAAGCGATCCGCAGCCACTGCAGCACGAGTTCCATCCCCCGGCCAGGGAGCTACCCATGGCCCAGCAGACTTCTCCTGACTTGCCCGCTGCTCCCCTCAGCAGTGTATTTCATCAGTCTGCCTGTTCTGTTCCCCGCTCTGTCTCACACACACACCCCTCCCCTCACCCGCACCTCTGGCCTGTACCCAGGTCTTGTATGCATAAATAAATAAATTTTTAAAAAATCATTAAGATGATACATTTCAAGTGATGTTTATTTTACCACAACTTTTAAAGACATGCCCCTAAGAACTGCAGAAAGGAAGAAAATAAGAAAAAGAAGAAAAGAAAGGGGAACGGGAAGGCATGGCAGATGATAGAGATTATAGAATTTCCAATTTAATAAAGGAGGAAAAGCTCTCTGGCAGCGTCTCCCTCCAAAGCCAGAACTACTTTTTTAGTTTATGGGATTTTTTTCCCCCACCTTTTACATCCTGGAGATCATTCTTGTTCTGCACATAAATTGTATCCCTGTCCTTTTACTTATTTTTTTCGGTACAGTTTTTTTTTTCTTCTGTGCTGCTGCAATATACATAAGGTGAAATTTACCTTGGGGACGGCTTTGAAGGGTACAATGCGGGGGCATCAGCACACGCTGTTTATGGCCCCCCATGGCCACTGCCTTCCTCCCCGATCAAAGTCTGTACCATTATTTTACTTATTTTTTTAAAGATGTGTTTTTATTGGGCCTCCCCTGGTGGCGCAGCGGTTGAGCGCTGGGTTGTGAGGCTGCCCGCAGCCTCTGCGGCGCCAGTTCGATCCCCAGCCGCCGGCGAGGGTCCCCCCCAAAAAAAAAAGATTTATTTTTATTTATGCATACAAGAGCTGGGGTGTAGTCCAGACGTGGGGTGTGTGTGTGTGTGTGTGGCGCGAGAATTCACCAGAGACAGAGTGGGGAGCAGGGACGTCTCCATTAAACATCACTTCCTGTCCCCGCTTTCCAGCCCCCACAACCTCGAATCTACTTTCCTACTCTCCGAATCTGCCTCTTCAGGGCACCTCATCGAAGTGAACCATAAAATATCTGTCCCAGGCGTCTGGCCTAGTGTATTGGGCACGGTGTTCCCACGGGCCTGGAATCGTGTCAGAACTTCGTTCCCTTCCGAGGCTGAAGAACATTCTTTTGCGCGCGCCCTGCCGCGCGCTGTTCTTCCCCGGGGCGCCCCCCCAGCCGTCCCCGCCTTTGGGTCACGGGCTCGATGCTGCTGCGCACACAGGGGTGCAGGCTCGGCCCCGCGCCCCGCCCCCCCCCACAGGCCCGGCCGGGTGGAGGCGGGCCTGGGGGGCAGCCCAGAGGCGCCTGCTGCTGCCTCCGGGGACCGTGGGGCGCGTCCTCTCGCAGGCGGGGAGGTGGCCGCGAGCGGCTTCCAGCGCGAGGGAACCGTGGACAGGCGCCCCCCGCCCCCCTGAGCGCAGCCTCTGCTCCCGCAGGCCGTGAACGCCGCCAAGCACGGGGTGGCGGGGGTGCTGGTGTACCCGACCCCGCGGACATCAACGACGGACACAGCCTGCCCAGCGAGACCTTCCCGCACTCCTGGCGCTTGCCTCCCTCGGGGGTGCGAGGTTCCTACTACGAGTACTTCGGGGACCCCCTGACCCCTTATCTTCCAGCCAAACCCTCCTCCTTCCGACTGGACTCAGCCACGGTCCCGGGATTCCCCCAATCCCCACTCAGCCCATCGGCTTCGAGGACGCAAAAGCGCTTCTCTGGTGAGCGGAGAGGGGTCTCC